TGCTTCTGTTGATTTGCCCAGAGGATTCTCAGCCTCTTTGGGCCTGTACCATGTCCAGGCAGACATGCTTATCACACTTTTGTCCATTTTACAGATGAGGAGACAGAGTCAGGAAGGGGTAGTGGCTTTTGAGGCTGCAGAGCAGGTCAGTGGCAGAGCATGGGCTGGACAGAGCCCAGGCCTGACTCCTGGTCCCAAGGCCTGCCTGTTAGCCCTTAAGTCGGCCAGTGGAAGCTCCATACCAGAAGGCCCTAAAAGTGCTAGAGGCCAAGAAAAGGACTGCACCAGGTTCCTTTCCCAGGAGCTCCCGAATCTCAGGTGGAGGTAGGCGAGCCAGCTCACCCTCTCTGTCCCCCTCGTCTCTACCTCTCAGCACACCAGACCCTCAGCTCAGGTTGGTCACTCAGAGGCCTGCAGTCAGACTGCCTGTTTCACTCAAATCTCGTGCCTCTATATATATGATTCCCTGCACATGAATGTTCTCGCCCACCTGCTAACACCTTTTCATCTTGCAAGACCCAAACTGAATGTCACCTCTTTCAGGAAGCCTTCCCTGACCCCAGGGTGATTAAGTTCCCCCACCCTCACCTCCAGGACTCCACAGTTGCTCTTGCTTCCTTTCTTGTCATTGCTTGGATCACTCTGCACTGTCACCTTGTGAGCATCATCCCGGTCTCACTTCCTCAAAAGTAAGGACTGTGGCTGACACATGGGAAGTGCTCAATCATCATACTGGAGGGCCCACAACCCAAGTCCCCGCCTCAGTGAAGCCTTCCTGGATGCCCCAGAGCAGGGTCTGCCATTTTCCATAGTGTCAGGGGCTTATTGCACATGTCATACAGGACAAATGATGAGGACCAACATGAGTGTCACAAGTTAGTTTATAAAGCACTTTCCACTCACATTAACTCAAACTCTCACATCCTTGAGAGCTCGAGGTTTCTGACCCTATTTTCCAGATAGGGAGAGTGAGATTCCCCAGAGAGGAAGTGAGCCACCAAGCAATGTCCCAGAAAAAAGGCAGGACTGGAATCCTGGCTCTCAGGCTTCTAAGCTTCAGAAGCAATGAGGGGGACCCTGGTGAGCCTGGATCCACCCACTTGGCACTTGGCCCCAGTGCCAGCTCCTTGCCAGACTGTGGGCGTCTCCAGGGCAGGGACAGCTGCAACAACAGCACCGAGCACAGGAGGGTACAGGTACAGAGGAGGCCTGGGGAAGGCTCGAGGAATCACACCAAAGTTAAAAGCAGGGCTTCATGCCAAGAGGAATAGGGCAGGCCAATTAATCATTCAATAAATATTTACTGAGTACCTACTATCTGCCAGGCACTGTGCTGGACTCAGCCGGGGACTCAACACTGAGAAAGACAGGCAAGGTCCCTGTTCTCAAGGGGCTGATATTCTCATGAGGGAGGCAATTAAACAGACAAGCACACATGATCATTTAGGTAGCCATAAGGGCTATAAAAGTAAAACAAGATGTGGTGATTGGGGGTGGCGCTCTCATGGGGGCAGCCAGGGAAGGCCTCTGAGAGGAGACAGAATGTTCAGGAGCCAGCCATACAAAGATCTGGACAGAGGGGCAGCCCATGCAAAGGCACTGAGGGGAGATTAAATGGGGGCAATGCTGGAGAACCAGGCAGACCACCGTGTGTCTGCAGCATGGCAGGTGACAGGGTCGGAAGCGGGGTTGTGGCAGCAGGACTGCTTACATGGGGCTTCACAGGCCACAAGGAGGAGTTTGAAAGTTTAGTTCACCTGGCAGCCAAAGCTCTGGGGGCTCTCGATGCAGCTATCCACCAGGGCAAGCTGGGGGAGCCTCCTCAAAAGGCTTGAGAAGGGATGAGCTGTCCCCTCATCACAGAGACTGGGAGCAACCTTCACTTTTTCAGCAAACAACTGAGCAACTACGGTATGCAGAGCCCTAAGCTCAGCCCTTCACGGCTTCAACATGCTTCTCTTGGTTTAAGGAGGCAAGCAACAGACTGGGAGATGGATCTGGGTCCTAGCCTGGCTTTGCTAAGCCTGGAAATGTCCCTTCACTCTGGGGACCTCAGCGTTCCCACCTGTAACATGAAGGTTAAGCCAGACCCAGCCCTCACAGATAGCTATGTTTTTATGACTCAAGTACTTGCTGCTAAAGTTGGGGCGGGAGGGTAGTGGTGGGGCAGGATTTCCACACCGGCCACTGAGTCACCCAACCTGCTAATAAAATATTACTCCTGGTCCTCCTTTCCCAGCCCAGATGAGCCCTTGGTAACACAACCCAAAAGCGGCCTCCGTATAGCTGGGAAAGGGATGTAGGGGAGGGAGGAAGCTACATAAATTGGAGGAGAGGGGAGCACAAGAGTGATGTTCTCATTCTGTGATTTAGGGCTGGCTTGGGTGACTGCCAACCATCAGTTCCAGAGTTGCCCCCAACAATCTAGCCACTTAGTTTCACGCATACCCACAGTGATGTGGAGCTCCATCCTCACCCACCCCAGGCTGCTGCAGTCCTCAACAGCTGTTAGAAAGGATCCCTCCATTATATCAAAACGTGCCCCCATAATCCCACCCCTCTTCCTGGCCTTGTTCTTTGGAGCCACACACAATAAATCAGCTCAGAATTTTTGGGACCACCACCATTTCATGCTAGGTCCTGTGCTAAACCCTCAGGATATAGGCAGGTGTCTGAATAAAGAGCTCCTAGTCCAGGTGCAAAGGCAGGGATGCAGATGCGACTAACTCTGAAGCCTCCACACCTGGCACAGGACAGTCCTTCAGAGATTAGAAAATACCAACACTCCCCGTTCCCCCAGCAGGCACCGACCCACCATGCTCCCACAGCCGGCCTTTTGTTTTAGCCAAGAAACCAGATGCCAAGGTATCTATTTCAATCTCTCACCCATCAAAGGACTTCCCTTCACAGAATCCATGGTCTCTCCTTGAACACTGCCACTGACAGGGTGTTCACCACCTCACAACAGTGGGACCTTATTTGCAGAGGCAAACTAGGCCACTGGGGAGTGTCTTCAAGGACCAAGGATGTAGAAAGCAGGTCTAATGGAGATGCCCAGATAACACAAAACCCTTCCCCACTCCACCCAGTCTTTTGCCAAAGTCGATCCCAGAGAGCTAAACTGACTGGTTTGCAATTCATACCAGCCCTTCTTACATTCCATGATGTAATTCCTTGTACCCAGGAAGAAAAAAAATCATGTTTTCAGGATCTAATAACAACATGGGGAAATGTTCCTGATAAGATAGTAAGTGACTTGGTTAAAACCATTTGCTAGAGTACAAGTTCTCCTGAGTAACAAACTCTAAGTCAAAAACATGAGAGCCATGGTCTGGCTCCTGGAAGACACATCTCACAGCCTGTGACAGCCAAACCACGGGAAGGGGATCTCTAGGAAGGACCACTATATCCTTATCCTATTACCTGAAGCAAAAGCATTTTAAAAAGCAGGAACATGGGCAAGTCCCTTCCTTTCTCATGAAGGACATCAAAGGGCACAAGGGAATAGAAAAGTGAGAGAAGGGGCTATCAGAGGCTTTTGGGTTGGGGACTTGGAACAGCTCAGGCTGCCTGGCCCAAGAGGGCCACTGCAACTCAGTACCTCTCCAAGGGCCACAAGCAACACCCAGACCAAGAGGGGCAGATAACCACAGTGATAATCATATAAGGAGCAATGTCAATGCCCAGGACCCAGTTAACCTGTGATGCAGCTTCAGGGTGGGTTGCTCTGCAGCCACTAAGATACTATCAATGACTTTTATTAACAGAAGAAAATACTCATGATATAACATTAAGAGGGAAAAAACAGGAGTCAGAATAGTATATTCTCAACTTTATCTATATAATGCATATAAACAAAATGATAAAGAAATCTATCAAAATGCTAATGGGAAGCTATTTTTGGATAGTCAATTTATCAGCAATTTTCATTTTCTTCTTGTTTGTCTATATTTTTCACAATTTCCATAATTAGCAAGTTTTATTTCTATAACAAAGGTGGGCAGATTAGGTGATTGTTAGTCACTAAAGAAAAATCCCAAGTCAGAGAGGTTCAGCAAGCAGAATTAAGACTTAGGAGGAGGGAGAGAGGCTTTAAGCAAGACAAACACTCAGACCAGGACAGCAGTGACGACCTTCCAGGGTCTCCCATCTGGGATTTGTATTTAATCCTTTGGTAAAGGCATCTGCTAAGAAAATCCTGGGCGCACTTCCTCCCACCTCAGTTTCCCCAAATACAGGCAAGAGGTGTGGGGTGGGGGGTGGAAAGGATGCTCCTCCTTGTATGGGAAATCCCAATTCTGCCCCGGATTCACTGAGGGCGTCAGTTCCGCCCTGGAGAACAGCAGGGTCCTCTGTCCTGCCTTCTTAAGTATGCCAGGCTCAGATTTCCTGTGAAGTGGACTCCAGAGGCTGGGCTGGAGGATGGGCATGGGGCAGAGGACTGGGAGGGCACACCTGTCCCAGCCAGGTATGTCCCCGGTCTGGTGGTGGGAGATTGCAAAATTCTTGCCACCTGCCCCATCCAGTCTCACTGCCAAAGCTTGCTCCACCTGCTGAGGGAAGAGGGCAGGAACTGCCAGAAACAGTGCTGGGGGTTGGAGAGGAGTTTTCGAATATCTCTAATAACTGAGAAGGGTGGGTGGTATCACTCCCACATGAAAGATGAGGGGAACAAGCTGGGGGTGGGAAGTAATGTAACAGGTAGCAAAAATTGACGAATCCCAGGCTGCCAGGATCAGACTGGATAGCGATCATTTCCCCCTCACCCCAGATCCAGATGATGGGGAGGCAGGGGATGAGGGAGCTTCCGGGAAGAAGAGGAACCGAGACCTCAACCTGCACTGGCAATTTCTCCAGCAGCCTGTGCTCTTCTGACGAACAGCCTCCCAGCCTGCCACAGAGCCCCTTCCAGAAAATTTTGCAGTTTCATAACCGCAGGATGAAAGCCCCAAGGCCCTGCAGCCCCCGGTGCGGTGACAACTCATCCCACGGACACTCACCCCATCTCCCGGAGCCCTCGCGTGATAGCGCGGCTCCTCCATTCGGGCTCGCACTCCGGGCACCCTCGGCCCGACGCTCCCCTCGCAGGACCCCGGAGTAGGCGGCTATGAGGGTCTTCATGCTGAAGCGGGTTCAGGTCACGGCCCTGCCGGAAGCCGCCTTGCCCCGCGCCGCTGGCCCATGCCCCGGCCGCCGGGGCCAGGGCTTCGCGCGGAGCAGGGGGCCCCGGGACGGCGCCGGAGCGCGGCCGGCTACGGGACCGGGAGCTGGAGCAGGCGGCCCGTGGCGGCGCCAAAACAGCAGCCGAAAGCAGAGCTGAGGCGGCCGCCACTGAGCTCGCAGCGGAGCGCGGCACTTTATAACCTCACAACGGGGCGGGCCACGACGCGGGCCGGGGCGGGGTGAGCCGTTCCAACCGGCCGCCGGCGCCACTTCCTCGCGGGGGGGACAGCGGCTGAGTCGCGGCCAGGCGCGAAGGCCCAGGGCCACCCCGAGGGCCTGCTGTGCGCGGATTTGGCGGATGCATGGGAGAAGCGGGCCTCTGAGTCCTCCTTCCAGGGGCGAGCCTGGTTACCCCGGCTGGTCCCGCCGGCCGCCGCCCCAGCGCTCCCCCGCCAGACTGGTACGGCCCGGCAGCTAGAACGTGGGCCGGGAAAAGCGAGCACGTGCAGGGCAAGCAGAGGGCGTGCGGGGGCTGGCATTTTTGGCACGGTCCTCCTTTGGTTGCAGATGCAAAGGTTCTTCATCTGGTTAGTGGTATCAGGATGAGCTAGGCTAGGACTGAGCTTCTGAACCACCCCAAATGCCTCTGCCTTTTCATCTATTTATTAAGAAACCTCATTTAGCAACTATACCCTGCTGGGTGCTGGGGACCCAGCCAGATCAGCTTAGGATCTGCCCTTGGGATGCTCACATTGGTGAGAACCTTGGGGGTGGCAGGGCCACACACGGGCACTGGCAACAATGCTGGGACAAGAGAGAGAAGCCAGGGGCCTGTGGAACCACAGAGGAGAGAGGATCCTGGCCTGGATTGGGGGCTGGGTGCACTTCCCAGAGAGACTGATTGATGCACAGCAGATTTGGAATCAGATCTGGAGTCCTGTTCCTGCCCTACCTTTATTAAGGCTCAGTTTCCATACCTGTAAAATGGGAATAATAATTATTATTTTGTGAGGTGCTTTGAGAAGTAAACAAGGTAAGGTATGAAAGAAGCCTAGGTAGTGTCTGGCACGTAGAATATGTTCCAGAATTATTTTCATTGCCCATTAATGAGTAGGAATTTTGCAGATGGAGAATGTGAGGGCCAGGCAGAAGGATAGGCCAGCATGTTTGGGACAGGGCTGGGGGTCCTGGAATGGCTGGAGCCCAGGCAACTATGGGGAATAAGGCTGAAATGAGAGGGGCTGGGGCTTGATCTGAGGAAGGCCTGTGAGTGCCACTCTTGAGACATGGGGGTAGAAGTGGGGTTCTTGGGAGAACTTTAGACAGTGGTGAGATGACTTCTAAGAAACCTCTAGCTACAGTGTGGGAATGGACAGGATAGGACAGATTTCTTGGGCATAGCTTGAGCGAGCTAGCTGTGGGCCACAGCATGAGGAGAGGGAGAGGTCTGTACCAGCTCTTTGCGGAGAGGGGAGAATGACAGACACGGCAGTCACAGGGCAGCATCTGGCATATGGCACTAGTGGGACCTAGAAACACTTCCATTTGTTCAACCCTCTGAAGGCCACAGGGTTAAATCTCATTGCAAAAATGTCACTGAGCCCTAAGTTGCCCAAGAGTAGAAAGAAAAGTATCCTAGGCAGAGGGTCCAGTGTGTGGAGAGGCTCTGAGGCTGGAAAGAACTTAGTGCCTTTCAGGAAACTGAGGGAAGCCTCGTGGACTACATGTGAGGGGGACCTTGGGGACTGGTATGTGCAAAGGCTGGGAGGTAGAAACAGGTGTGGCATATTTTTGGGCAAACAGGAGTGTAGCAGCTGTATATCAAAGGTACCTGTGAATTCTTGCACCCTCTCTTGAGAGAGGGTGCTGTTGGAGACAGACTCCAGCCAGCCTGGAAGACCCCAATCAAGGTGTGGCTTGTGCCTGCTCTGGAAGGGTCTCCTGTAGAGAATGCCTTGACCTGGAACCCCTGGCCACCTGTTTACCTCATAGTATGATCTAAGGGCAAAGTTTGGGCTGGGAAGCAGGAGGCCTGTGTTCTGGCCTCTCTTCTACCACTAACTTGCCAAGTGTCTTTGTGCAAGTCACCATCCCTATCTTATCTGTGTTTCAGATTTTGTACTATGGAATGGGGTGACAGTTCCTATTTTGCTGATTTCACTTGAGTATTTGAGGCTCAAGTGAAATCACAACATGTAAATGAATGTTACCACTATGCTATGAAAACTAAGAGATTGTTGTCCTAAATGGAAAGACTTTGGGTCACCAAGGCCTGTTTAAAATATTCAGATCCCAAGTTCATCTACTTCAGCCCCTTTTTCCTGTGCACCTTCTCTGGGCCAGGCCCTGGTTAGGATACCAAAGGAAATTGGGCCTACTCCCTGGCTTCAAGGAAATCCAATCAAGAGATGGTGCCCTAACCAGTGGTTGCAAGACAGCCAGGCTGTGGTACAGGGTAACATGGGAGGCTATGCCAAGTTCAGCCCTTCCCTCCTGTGCTGTCACCATCTATCTGCAGTGTCTGCCTCTCTGCTGGGCCAGGGGCTTCCAAAGGGCCGTAACCTCATCACTCTACACCCTGGTGTAGGCATAGAAGCTTGGTCCCAGGTGGATGGAACCAATGAATGATGACAATAGAGTCATGGAGGAAGCGGAGGGAATATAAATTGGGAAGGTCAGGAGGAGATGACACTGCCGCAGGACCTGAGACAATGAGTCTGATTCTGCGAGGTGGAGAGGAAGGGGAAAGGTATCGGGCAGAGGTTACAGCATGGGCAAAGACCTGGAGGTGAGCACCATGAGCACAGCCTGGTGTGGCTGGAAGAAGGATATGGGCAGAGGATGGATAGGAGATCAAGGCCTTTGAAGTCTTTCCTAGGAAGCTGGGGCTTCATCCTGTGGAAGATGGGCCAAAGCTGGGAGTGGTGTGAGTAGCAGAGGCACCATGATCAGATTGGTGGATTAGAAAGATCACCTGGGTTGGTGGTGTCGTGGTGGGAGGTTGGGGAATAGGTCGGGGCCCTAGTTTGGGCCGTTCACATGTGGGAACATCTACCAAAGCATGCAGAGGCAAGTCCCAGGTCTAAGAGGCACAGCCACTTGCTTCTGTGCCACCTCACAGAGTGAGCAGCCCCTGGCATCCTGACTTCCAGAACACTCCCTCCCCTTGGCCTATAGCTACCACACCCACGGCTACTGCTTAAGCAGCTTGGTCCAGATTGAAATTAGATGGAAATAAAACCCAGAGTTAGAGTACCCTAAGTGAAAGTTTCTTGGGAGCTTTCTGTGTCCTGGTGCTGTTCTCCCCCAGGTGAGGTGGGCATGGGCAGCTCACACTAGGCACTGATTTCTCCTGGCCCTTTCCCACACATCCTGACATCCCTAGGTCCTTGTAATGACCTGCCCTGCCCTTCCTGAAGGTGTGTGAGCAGGATGGCTATAAGATTGTGTTCTGGGCCTTGTCACCTTTCCTTCATTGTCTCCCAACCCAGCCCACAGGTCAAACCAGAGACAGGTCAAGTCACACCTCCAAGAAGGGCTTGACTAGGGTGGGCCTTACTAAGTGAGGCTCATTCACTCCCCCTTCCAGTCACCAGCATTGTACTGCCATTAGGGATTGTGTGCTTAGCTTTGCAGTTTGTGAGGGGCTTGCACCTGCACGTCTGAGACACTAAGTTATCCCCTCCGTTACACAGACAAGGACACCTGCTTGAATAGAGGCACAGGGAGAAAGACAGAAACAAACATTTCCCAAGCACCCTGCTCTGCACCAGGCCCTGGCTCGCAGGTGCTCACCCAATCCTCACAGCCACCTGCAATGGTGGTCACCACCCCCTTAGCAAATGCGGTGCAGAGAAGTGCAGTGACTTGTCCAGTGTCACACACGGAGTGAGTAGTAAAGCTAGGGTTCACACCCATGTCTTCCTGAGCCTCAAACCCACATGCTTTCCTCCCTCACAAGGCTGGGGGAAGAACCACCTAGAACACCAGAACTACTTGACGAAAGCAAACTCCTACCCATTGTCCCCTTTAAGCTCCTCCCACAGCCCTGTGAGGTCATTTCCATTCTGTAGTAGGGAAAAATGAAAGCTCAGGGAATCAAAGATCTTGCCAGATGGCAGGGATGGGATTGAGATTTAGCCATTTCTCATGCCCCAAGGTGAGAGCCCATGGGGTTAAACTCATTCCAGTGCTCAATTCACTTGGAGAGTGGGTGGAAGTTCTGACATGGGGACAGACATGGGGACAGTTCAGCCTGGCACAGCCCTCTGGACAAGAAACTCACCCCACTCCTTCTTCCCCAGCCAGGAGTTCGCCAGCCAGAGCAGCTCTGTGGCATGGCTGCACCCTCCCAGCACTTGTTGCCTGCCATCTCCAAGCCCCCTACTGTCCCTCTTCCAGGAGCAGCCATGCTGCTGGGTCATCATAGCCAGATGGTGTACAGTCTGGATCCCAGGCTGAGGAGTCTGGACTTTATCCTCAGGGCAATGGGGAACCGTAAAAGTTTGAAGCAGGGGTGAAGTACGATCAGTTTTATGCTTTAGATAGATCATTGTCAAGGCAAGAACACCTTTAGCTGTCACCTCCATGGCACTCTTCCTGTAGGAAAGGTGTTAATCAAGGTCCCTGCAGGAAACAGGCCACTCAAACTGGGTAATTCAAGGAAAGTTTAATGCAAAGACTGGTTATAAAAACGTAGACAGGGTATAGAGAGAGGGTTGGTGCAGTGCCCAAGGCTAGTAACCTTCTAGGGAGTGTGGCCTGAAGGACCCAGGGGAGGACAGTGGCAGAGTGGGGCTGTGTGGAGAGCGCTGCCTGATGGAAACTGTGGGCTTTGCTGAAGGGACACAGACAACCTACAGGGACTTGGCATGGTCACTCTCTGCCACTTCCTCCCTCCAATCTTCTTCCAGGGCTTCCCATTGTTCAAAGGGTAAGGTGGCCTGCGGACGCAGTCTATATGGAGCATCCCAGCAGAGTACAGGAGAAAAAGTGGAGAGGGGGTCTGGGGTAAATGGAAGGGGGTAGCACATGGCCCTAGGAGGACCCTCCACTCTGTGTCTGCTTCACACTCGTAGCTTCTCTTTCAGAGCACCTGAAACTCTTAATGTTTATACACCTGTCTGTCCCTGGAGAGGCTGCTGAGGGCCAAGGTAAAATCAGAGTCTTCTATATCCGAAGGTCCAACACTGGGCCTGACCCACAGAAG